TTATTAATATTATTATTATTATTCATACTCTCTGTAACAGGTGGCCATTAGTTAGAGTAGGTTTCACTGTATTCTGTCCTGTCCACCAGTATTCTTAATGGACTGTATTTGCCTCTATCCAGGTGTACCTGTTACGCAAGCACTCATCCCACCACATCCCCGCTCAGGATCTCCGCTTCTACATCTGCAGTCTGAGCTCAGAGATCATTGTGTACAAGGTAAGACTATGTCTCTTTCTTATGCGTGATGCAACTTCGCATCGCGTTCGACAGTCGCTAGCGATGAGTCGTGAGGTGTGTATTCTTTTGCGCAACAACATCACACAGCGTGTTGACCGGCGCTCCTTGGGTAGGTATTTTGACCAATGGTGATGCTTTAACTCTTTATCTCCAAGGAGGGTAAACCCACTATGCCAGAGCCCATTTTTAGTCTTCTTCTTTTTTCTTCTTTATCCCGTGGTTGGGGCAACCGTGGGGGCACCACTGCATTTGTTAACCAGCTCTCGCCATATATTTTTGTCCTCTGCTTTCCTCAGATTGTCACCCATCATCTTTCCTGTCTGCTCTGTAATGTTGTCCTCACATCTCCTTCTCTGATTTCCTCTCTTTCTCTTTCCTTGTATGGTTCCTTGCAGGATTGTTTTGGCTAGTCCTGTGGATCTTGTGACATGTCCATACCATTTTCATTTTCATTTTTGGTACTAAATCTAAAAATGACAGATCGTCACTAAATTGGTAATTAATTCAAAACAAGTGAACCTGTTTCGATTGTTCTTCATGTAATAAAACTCTCTCTCTAAGTTGACCACACCACGTCTATCTGTCACACAGGGTCAGCTCAATACGGACCAGCTGTGGAAGTTCTTCCTGGACCTGCAGGACCCGGAGTTTGAGACTCATCTGGCTCTGGTGCACAGTCGCTTCTCCACCAATACCTTCCCCAGCTGGGAGAGGGCCCACCCTCAGAGGTACTCTCTGCCTCCCTCTGAAGCTGTTGTTGGGGTTTTTTTTTCGTTTTTTTGTTGTTGTTATTGTTTTGTTTTGTTTTGTTGTTTGTTTGTTGTTGTTGGGTTTTTTTGGGGGGAGGGGTTTTAATTCGTAATGAATTTGTATAAAAAAATAATTTTTAAT